GATGTAAATCAATTGGGATGGCAGAATCTTGGACAATCCAGGTCACCATCCGGTCGCTTTTAGGGCAGGATTTCGTCACTGCAACAAGGGTCCGGAGGGGTAGGGGAGGTAAGGTCTAGGTCTAAGGCTAAGGACTAGGTCTGAGGCTAAGGATAAGGCCTAAGGCTAAGGCTTAAGGCTAAGGCTAACATCGACAGTCACGCCTCACCCCACGGTGTGGGGTCGGCGGATTAGAATCTGTAATTAGAATTCAAAATAAAAATTAGAAGCAAGTGATGCTCCTAGGAGCTTTTTCGCGCACCCGCGCGCGCGCGCGGGTTAGGTAGAGGACGCTACTAGGAGTGATGGCCTCCAACCTACTAGGGATGACCTCCAATGGCCTCCAACCTACCAAAGGAGTTCTGAAGAAGGTAGGGAACGACCCAGAAGCAAACCTCACAAAAGGGTGAAGGACGGCACGTTCTGCGACGCCGATCCGAATACGCGCTGTGAGAGGGAAAAACAGATGTGGGACGGTGTGTTTGAAATTCTCTATTTTGTGGAAGGGGGTTGTGTCAGGTTGTGATTGGGTTTTGAAGGCCACTCCGCAAAAGAAAGCATCCACAGAAGAGAGATGGCTTCGATCATCGATCTTCGCCTTGGGACGGTTCCAACCGTGGGAGACACGGAGCCGAGCCTCAGGTGCCCCGCACCAAGCTGAGACCGTTGGCGGGTGCGGCGACGGGTGCGGCGACGGCGAGTCCGGCGCCTGATGCTTGGACCTTCAACGATGGGCGCCCCAGGTGTGGCTGGGAGGCGTTTTCATGAGGCGTTGCATGGAGACGTTTTGGTGACCAGATGCTGTTTCCCATCCAAGTCAGAAGGCCTGAAAAGGGTTTCTTGATGTCCTTGAAAAAGAAGGTTTGAGACTGACTGCGCAAGCAAAATCATGTCATTTCCCCTAAACTCCTAAACCTTCTCTTTAAGTTCCAATGTGTCCCCGGGTGCCTGGCCCTTCCAGCAAAACACCTTGGAGTCAACCCCCACTTGCGGTCCAGTGACCACAAGCGAGGCTTCCTGGTTCCAGAACTGGTTCCAGTCGAATCTGAGTTCCTCCCTTTTCTCTCCGTAGACTGTCGTGCTGATGCCGTTCCCCATGCGACTTCACGAGCATGTGACTCCGCAAAGCGCCCCACCGCACGGCAGCTGGGGTAGACGCAGTTTCGTGAAAACAGCGGCTAAGCCGCGAGCCGTGCTAAGGAGGTGGAGCAAGCCAAGCCACAGGCGAAATCCGGAGGAAGCGATTGGGCCCCTTGGCTGGCCCAGAGCGCCCTTTGTTCGACCAAAATGGCCCATGCCTTGTTCTTCAACCTGCTTTCAGGCGGCCACCGTTCTCTTCTCTTGAGACTTTGGAACGGTCGGGTCGTCCATTCCGCGCTGCCCCCGTCCGCCCAGGCCGCTGCCGAGCGGGAACGGCGGCGACGCTCGGCCTCGCCCACGTGGGACATGTGACGCTGGCAAACGTCGAGGGTTCTGTGGTGATTTGCAAACGTTCCAGGTATGTTGCCGCGGGAAACTGGTTCTCGTGACATGGTCATGCTGATCTCGAATTCTACACCCCAAATCGCTGGCTATAGTGGAAATTGGACGGAGTCCAGGTTCGGAGCTGTGCTTGCGTTTTTCTTCCAGATTTGAAGCTAATCCGGCCATTCCATGCGTTTCTTTGGTGAGCCCGGAGTTGTCGTCTCTGAGTTGGGTCTAAGCGAGCCAACCACGAGCTTTTAGGGTGAATTACTGGCACCCCAATGGATTCCACAGCTAAGACCTAAGTGAACAGACCCAGCAAGCGGTTCAACGGATTGAAATCAAGTGTCAGTTGACCTAGGACCTACCTTCAAACTCAATTTGACTCAGCTCTCCTTCGTTCGGAGAAAGCCCACCCGCCAAAACCTAAGGACTCGCTGAAGGCTTTCGTTCGGGCTTCGAGGAGGGAGCTGTGGCCGCTCCGCCTAGAGGTGAAGGTGGAAATGGTCCGCTGCTTTTGGGAGTCCGCTATTCGTAGCTCCTGGCATTACTACAAGGCGCCTTGCTACTAGTAGCAAGCAGCTAACAAGGGCATCGCTACTAGGAGCGATCGGACGCTACTAGGGGCTCCTGGCATCGCTACTAGTAGCAAGCAGCTACTAGGAACTTTCTTTGGAAGCTACTGGGGTCGGTCCAGCACGTGGAACGTGGAGGGGAGAGGGGAAGCGCTCACCAACGAAACAGAGTCCAAGCAAGGTCCAAGAATCCCACGGAACGGAGTGGCCGGCCTCCTAGTAGCGACGCCCTTTGCTCCTAGTAGCGATGCCAGGAGCCCCTAGTTGCTTCTTGTTCCTAGTAGTAAGGCCAGGAGCCCCTAGTAGCATCCTTGCTCTTAAGGTTCAAAAGGCAAGGGCTCACAATTGGCCTCACAATTGACCTATAGTCACACTAGACGTGAGCGAAAGACCCTTTAAGCTGGGCAGGCTGTGCTGAGACAGCTTTGGGGGAGCTTTGCTCGTGTGAGAACGAATGCCGACACTGATGCTGACAGCTCGTCGTTTCGGGGGCACCGTGATGATCACGTCCTCGCTGAAGCGAACTGTATTGCTTAGACCCTTAGACGGAGGGGAGGCGGTGGAGGGCTGCAGTGCAGCTTTGCCGTGCTCTCGGTGGCTCGTTCTCATTCTCAAACCTTCCTAGGCGTCCACGGCAAAGCAGGGTGTATTTTTCCCGGTGGGGCCTTTGGCATCACACTTGAGCGCTCCCACTGAGTGATTCTGTGTTGATCAATGTGCTCATTGATTTTTCAGATTGTATTTGGATGGAATGCATTCAGCAACAGGGATGCTTGCACCGTTCTTTTTCCTCTTCCCATCCGACCACATCCGGATCCGCACACTGGAAGTCCGGAGGTCCGTTCGCGTCAACACCCCGTGGTGAGGTGATGATGGAAGGTTTGCAGTCCATGCCCGAACTCAATGGCCAGACGGGTCTCGTGGCAGAAAAAGCTGTTCAAATTGAGGGCTTTCTGCCTCAGGAGCCTCAAGATGTAGGCCATGCGGCTCGCGGTGGCTTGTTCGGCCTCGACAAAAAATAACATCCTTTGGTTGTTGTTCTTGCGCTGTGATGCCAAAAGTGGGACTGAACCACAAGTCTTTTTTACGTGGCTGAGGGAAGCTACTGACTTGGGATGCTCAGTCTTTGCGTTGGAGAGTGCACATTGAAGGGGTTGGAATCAAGTACCTTGGCTGACTGAGTGGGAGTGATGGTGACGCCACGCCGAAAATTCAACAATTCATATGAGAGATCCACTCTCGACGGCATTTCTTGGGTGTCCTTCTTCGTCATGGAAGTCTCTTGCGTGAAAAATGGGGAGCTGTGTAGTGCAGATGCATGTGGAAGGTGGAGGTCTTGAGAGCAGTTCAGGTTCAGCTTGTTACTTCTGGAAGGGGAGTACCCTGGTGTTTTACAAGAGGGGACCTTCGTTTTCGCTCTTAGCGTCCTTGCTCCTAGTAGTAAGGCCTTGGCTCCACACTTCCCAAACCCAACCGGCGAAGTGCGTCGCTGTGTTTTTGGCTTCGCTCCGAGGTCTTTTAGGCCTCAAAACCTCATCCCACAGGACTGGTCGGGCGGTGAAGTCGTGCTTTTTGTTAGTAGCGAACCTTGTTACTACTAGTAAGGCCAGGAGCCCCTAGAAGCTTCCTTGCTCCTAGTAGCGATGCCCTTTGTTACTAGTAGCTTCTTGTTACTAGAAGAACTCGAAGTAGCTGCTCGTGAAGGATTGGACGAAAGGTTTCCACGAAAAGGGCACTTTGCTAGGCCCTAGGCCTTTGGCTAGGGCTCTGGGAGACGATGCCAGCTGCCACTCGGGTTGGCCGTTGGGCCAGGAGGGCAAGCGAAAGATGAACGGCGACAACCAGGAGGACCAACGGAGATATTGTGTGTATAATATTATATATATATTGCCAAACGTTGATTCAACGAGGCAGCTTGCAGAATGAAAAACCAGGCTGATGTTCTTTTATGATGATTGTTCACCTCAACTCTAGCGCCTGCGTCGATTGTTCTCCATCAAAAATTTGGTGCAACGGCAACGGTGCAACCGGCTTGGGCAATGTATCCTGCAATCCACGTTGCATCCCTTGCATTGCGCTTGGCCGAATGAAATGGTTCCCAAAAAGGCCACGCAACCACCGACATGACCCTGCAAAGCCAAATCTAGATGTTTACGATCAACTCCCCGAAGGAGCCTGAGGCGAAGAAGTCCAAGAACGAGGAGAACGTGCCATGAGAGCTCTTCCGCCTCAGCGGCTTGGTGTCTCGGATCGAGCGCGCTTGGCCCTGGCCCCAATGAGTGTGGGGGGAACCTGCATACTCCGAAAGCGGCGTTGTTCTTTTGCGTTGCCATTGAAACATTGCGTGATGTTGGTCTTATGATTTTCCCTGTCTCTGTAGATTCTGCAGATGGCCTCTCCAAGTAGCGGACTCTGGGGCAAGTTGCATCGGTGGAAATCTGGCAGAGGATGCGTTGCTGAACCCTGCTTGAGATGTGTTGAGCCTGTCCACAACCAAGCAGTCTTCCCCTTGCGCTACGGTTTTCATTCAAAAAGATGCCGGCCCAAACCTGCTAGCTGCGGCAGCTAGCGCACCCAGGTCGCCGCTCCCGAGCTAACCCCAGCACCGAGCCAACCGAGCTGCAGGGAAGTGCGGCGAAAAAGAGGAACCCCGTGGACGGTCGAGCGGACTGTCGAGCTGAGTGGGTGTGGAGATTGCCGGGCTCGGTCCGAGTGGTTTTCGACGTGGGCCCATTCCTTGACAGATCCATGCGAGCGAATGGCCTCCGCTACTTAGAATCGTTGAGGAGTAAGGGAGTAAGGTCTCTAATTACTGACGCACAGAGGTCCAACGGGCAGGAAGGCATGCCAAATCAAACAACTTGGACCAGTCCTCCAGCAACCAACTGTTGGCACCACTGGTTCAGACGCTCAACCTGAGAGGTTTGGACGTGCCGGACATCTCTCATGTGGTGAACTACTCGGTGGGTTTGTCGGCGCCTGGGACGTTGAACACGGTGTTGGGCATGGGAATTGGATGGCGCTGGTCCACAAAAACCAGAACTCATCCCATTCAGGCACTTGTGGTCCCAAGGTTTGGAACTGGAACCTCCCCTGGGCCCAATCCTGACCGGCCGAGTTCGGACATGTGGTCAGAAAGGAGGGTCGTCGTAGGATCAGCCACTGGGTCTCCGACTGGGAAGACCTGGCACTTGGAGCAATGGTCCTTGGTCAGCGCTTGATTCGAATTAGAAGAGCAGGGAAGGTCACAGATTGGGTTCCATTCCCTAAACCCCATGTGCCCGGCATGGTGTCTTGGAACCGTACAAAGCAGTGGGAGGTTTCTGGCTTCTCTTGTGGACTAGAAGCTAGCACCACGCCTTGTTTTCTCAGACGTGTCCATTGTCAAAAGAAGCTGGCCGTGATGGTTGGCGACGGAGAACCGTCAATGTCTACAATGTCCACGGTCCTTTGTCATCCTTTTTCCTGCGATCGGCCGAGATCGGCCAGGAACAAGTGCATCGCTTCTAGTAACAAGTGCCTTACTAGTAGTAACACGAAGCTATTAGAAACAAGTGCCACGCTACTAGGAGCAAGAAGCTCCTTTCCCAGCAAAACCACCACGCTGTTGACCCGCTTGGCACCTCGGCCGAAGCCCAGATCGACGGCTACGTGCACCGAATCGGCCGCTGTGGCCGCGCGGGGCGTCACGGCACGGCGGTGACCTTTGCCGCTTGGCAGTGAGCTGAGTTCTATATCGGAGTTTTCTTTAGGAGATATTTATATCATGTATTAGCTGTAGATATGATGTACTTATATTATATATATATGTGTGTGTGTATCACATGTTTAAGGAGTGCGCTTTAAAAATGGTCCGTGAAGAACAATGAGGGGTTTGTCTTGGGAGTGGATGTTGGCCACCTCGCCGCACAGAAGGCTCGTGGAGCCGACGTTAGATCTCAATTAGGGCTTCTTGGCAAATAGGGGACAGTCGTCATCCAAACGATCCAAACGTGTTATTTCAGTTGTACATCTTTGTCTTCTCAATGGTTCGGTATGTCAGCTTCGAGCAGAATTTTGGGCGCGCGTGATGTTCGAACTGCCCGTTTCTCTTGGGGGTCTTCCTTTTAACTTCCAAAATAACCTTGAGACCAGGCGGGGTGACCTGAGCAAAGTGGGAGCGGCAAGTGCTCTTCGATCACGGGCACGTCAGATGAAAAACTGGCAGCGAGGTTCGTCGCACGGAGCTTTCAGGTCACCGATGGCGATGAGAAGTATGCCGAGCCACTGCTGAAAGTGCTGCAGGAGGCCGTCCAGCTGGGTTTACGGCGAGGAGTTGAATGGGATGCGAAGTGTTTAGGACGGGAACCCCTATTTTTCTTGCATTTTTCAATTTTTTCTGGGAGTTTTTCACATTTGTTTCCCTACTGCTTTTTGCTTCTACTTTTGCTTCTGCTTTTGCTTTTGCCCTTTGCTGTTGCTTTTTGCTTTTGCTTCTGCATCTGCTTTTGCGTCTGCATTTGCCTTTTGCTTCTGCTTCGGCTTTTGCATTCTGCTTTAGCAATTAGAGCCTGTGCTGCTGCAGTAGAGACCCTGTGCTGCTGCAAGTGGCCAGCTTCCAAAGCTGCGCTGCGCGCAGTGGCCAGGGTGTAACGAACGGGCGTTGCTGCAAGCGGCCAGCTTCCAATGCTACGCTGGTTGCAGTACAGACCCTGTGCTGCTGCAAGTGGCAGCTATTCCAAGTTGACTACCCTTTGATGGCCCTTCCAAGTTGGCCCACCCTTTGGTGAGCCACCCGAGGGTAAAGTTTAGAGAAGGATGTTGCCATTCCAAGTTGACTAACCCTTTTGTCGGCCATGCAGGGGTAAAATTTAGAGCAGGATGTTGCCATTTCAACTTGACTCACCCCTTGTGTGGGCAACGCAATGGTAAAATTTAGAGAAGGAAGTGGCCATTACAAGTTGACTAACCCCTTTGTGGGCCATGCAGAGGTAAAACTTAGAGAAGGATGTTGCCGATGTTGCCATCTCAACTTGACTCACCCT